CCTCATTAATTTGAGGTAACGTGTAGTGGGTACGAAATTCAAAAATGAATTTTCAGAATAATATTATATATTAAAAAGTTTTCACTACAAATGCTTTTGAGAAAAATAAATTATAAGGAAACCTAAAATAAAAACATCCAGTGGTATCATTCGTAATCTGTGACTATAGAAATCTACATCATTATTACGGTTTTCAAAATTCATGTGGCAATTAATTTTAAGACTGAAATCAGATTTTTTAACTGAAAAAAAAATTTCTTCGCGAAGTCTTAAAATATATGTAGCTGGGTATCTCTGTCACCTATCAGTATTATAATTCATTTTGTCTTTCTGCTTGTACTTAATATTTCTTAATAGCTCCTAAGTTGAGACAAAAAGCAACAAATATATTTACATTTATTATACATTATAATGCATACATTAATAATTAAGCAGCAAGTCAGTTAATCTAAACTATATTGCACGCAGCTTTTTAGTGTTTTACTTAACTATTAAGTAATAATTCTTTAACGTTTTAAAATAAATAAAGTTAAATAAACTTACTCTTTAATTCTTGGCCGTCTGGAGTACATTTTCCTTTATCAAGTATACAGTTCTTGTAATTTTTGAACAGTCTTTCGTTAGTCAAAATCCTGTCGATATCAATATTATCGTATTTAGTGGTATATTTTTCACCATCGGCTCTTTTAACCCTCTCAACGGCAACTGCCCCAATGGTCTTCTGATGATCGATGAAAAGGATGAAGGCAGCAATCGCGCAAATAAACGAAACGTTGGCTTTGTACATCGTTTACAATATTAATTAAATGTCTAATCGTTGTCGAAATATCATTAACTTCTAGGAGAGTAAAATCTACTTTACGTACACTTAAGTACACAAATAACAAACGTGTAAAGATGAACCATTAACTAACAGGTTTTGCAATTTCAAGGCGGACAGGCCTTTTATTAACAGCGATGAAAGTACCGAAACGACGAAAGGTCAAAAAATGTAATTAAGAAATAATGACTCTGTGATATTATTACGTACATGAGTACGTTAGATGCCTGATGGTAACAATGGCAGCGTACGAAACAAATGAACAATGTTTTAATGTAAATCAAAAATTTGCTTACAATTCGAATAAGAGAACTAAATTTAATAGTTCATTCAATGTTGCTTTTATTGTCTCTTTTATTGAGGGCTTAATATGTAGCCATCAAACTTGATTACGACAAAGAAGCTATTACGTTATTTATGACAATTAGCATTTTCTTGTTTTTAAAGTTAGTTATTGTTAATACTGCAAGTATCCAAGTCGTGTCAAACCTTCTGAAATTGATCGCACACAGCTCCGAATCAAGTCAGTACAGATGTATAAATGTTGATTCGCATGTCATAATATTAAAATGTTCGTTTGAAAATTTAATAATTAAAAGTTACTTTTTAAACATACATTATTTAAAAAGCAATTTGTGCAGTGATTTAAATGCTCTCACCGTCTAGGTTTCGAACCCACACTGAGCCGTGCTCCAAACAATCTTCCGAATTTCTAAATTTATTAAGGTGACCAACTATACTCATTTACTGAGTTTTGTACTCTTTTTTCGCAAACCGTACTCTTTTCAAATCCTGTACTCTGAAAGTACTCATTTGTATAATTTTATACTCATTTGTATTAGTAAAATATATTGTTATTAATGACAATTTTCTCTTTGAAGAAATTCGAAGAGTAAATTTATATTTAAATGAAGAAAAATTGAAGAAATGGAACGATGGGAAAATAGAACTTGACAAAAGATGGGCAGAAATCTTTCGGCATTTCAGTGTAGAACATACCCCCATGAAAATTTAAAAATTTTAATAGAAATTTCCTTATGTTGTCCAGGCACTAATGCTGCTATTGAAAGGGTATTTTCACTAGGGAACGATTATTGGAGGAATGAGACGTCGCAACTTTCTGTAAAAACATTATCTGCCGTCTTAACAGTCAAATTTAATATGCAAAATGAAAGTTGTTCGGATGTGGCTACATTATTAGACGAACATCCTCATTTAGCAAAAAAAA